ATGATTCTATGATTCTATGATTCTTCTGGAGAATCTCCTTCCAGACACATATCGTTGGGGCTGAACGTACTGCAAATTTCCAATCCCTCCCTTTATCTTGTCCAAATCCTACATGCATTGACACCCATGAATTCCAGGGAATCCATAACGTTGCCTACTTCAAGAAGCAGGAGTGGAAGCATGCAAGATAAGGCCAGCATGTTACTAAGAATAATGCATGTTCAACTAGATGCAGAAGGGACGTTAAAGTAGGCAGGATGTCATTCCTAGGTACTAATTTGTCAAACATGCCTGCAGCAGCGAGTTTTCCTCATAGTCTCTTCTCAGGACTGAATGAGCCTCATGCTAATGAGCTGAGGAGGCTGGGTATGGAAAGACTGCATATTTGACATATTCTCTCTAGAACTGAAATGGCATTTTGTTAGCAGCTGATAGTATGCTGTCTGCCTGCACTTGGCAAAAACAGTGAAAAGTTTGGTTATTTTGACATTTTTCTTACTTCTAGCCCAACAGGTGGGAGCTGAGAGCCAGAAAACTCTTGAGTTGGAGTGTTACCATGGATAAAACTAAGCCTGTTGAAATAACGATTGTGACTGTACTTGCTTAACTCTTCAGTTTGGCTCAGGAAAAGGCCTCAGGTCCCAGAGCAGGCGACTGGGGAGGGAGAGGAGCTGTTTAGCCACTTCCTATCTTATATTCACCTTTTGGTGCTGATCCTGCTTCCTCATGGCCCTCTGCTGTCCTTCGCAGTCCTGTCTGCACTCAATGCCATCTGGGTGACAGAGGAGATGGAGCACTCCCTGGAAGTGGAGTGGGAGAACCCACCAACAGATGTGGATTATTACAAGCTGAAGTTCAGATCCCTGGTGGAGATGGATGAGAAGCAGGTCATGGTGCCCAAAAGCAATGACCCTAAGAGCAGACACATCATGACTGGTGAGTACTTGTGAGTATTCCAAACTGGGCAGGGGCAGGGAGAAGTTGCAGGAGCGATTGATGGTCAGACCATAGTCCTAAGACAATTCTTCTCTCATGTGCGGATGGCCAGTTTTCCTTCACCTTGTGCCTGCTGTAGGCCAGAGTGAGATCTATTGGGGTTCCCCTATCCCATAATGATGGGTGTCTCCATAGAGAGAAAGCTTTTATGCCCTGGGGATAGCAAGTTTCAATGCATATTCATTCAGCTTTAATTCCATCCTTGTTAAGAATAAAAATATATTCTATTTCAGAGCTGGTAACACTCATATTACGGAAATCCCCACTTACTGTGTATGTCAATGTATGCCTTAATGGCAAGCCTGGACCAAAAGTGCTACCAAGGCATTCTCAAGACAAAAGTTCAGATAGAAATCTAAACTTTAAGTTCCTCTCTGCTGAGAGGACTGGGTAGACTAAACAAAATAGCTTTCTTTAAGAAAAGTTACTGTCTTCCTTAATTGTTTGTAATGCTTCCTTTTGCTCTTTGTAGGCCTGAAACCTGGCACAGAGTACGAGGTCACTGTCATACCTGTGAAAAACAATACAGAGGGGAAACCATCCTCAGTGAGTGGTAGGACTGGTACGTAGAAAGTTTCTTTTATGATAGTGATGTTACTACAGCGTTCCGGGACAGATCTGTCAAGATCACAGCATGAAAAGTGCATAGTTGGCTGCTTCTTCATGCATGACCTGCAGCCAGGTCTGCTTATATCTTGTTTAAGCTTGTCTACACCGTATATTAAGTGCTAAACCTAGCCCTAGCTCAGTCTTTTGCTTTGGTTTTAAATCTACAGTAACTTCACCCTTAACTTGACTAATGGCTCCAGCCAGACACAGGATAAGCGTAGTAAGCTGGCCTCTGTATGTAATAACAAACCTCAAATGAGCTCAGAGCTAGGTCCAGCAGTAACTCAAAGTTTTCTGGTTCATGACTTCCCTAACTAGATCATTGACAGGATGACCTTGCTTAAACCTAGTACGCACAATTTGTGGTCTGGGTATAGCCCTTCCTCATGGATCCTCTGGGCAGCTGCCGCTGACTGCCCCGCAGCTGTTAGCTGCTGATGATTTGTCTGGTCTCAGCCCAGGAGCAATAAGGAAGAGGAGAAGTTCTTCTTCCTTCCTGTATTGCCTGGCTCCAGCATTATTTTTCTCTTCACCAGACCGAACAGAACAGTTGGACTGAGGAACCGTTGGATTAGCACACCATTGCCAGGCCTGCATTTCCACTGGGGGCTATAGTCTCAGCCCGCTGTGTGGTCTGATACACCTGCCCCCATGGAGGTGAAGTTGTGCTTGTCCAGTGGGCTGCACAGTGCCACGGCCCTGGCATTTCTGTGGTAGCTTGAGTCTTCGCCTCTACGTGTGAAGTGACTGAAGAGGCTTCAGCTACTTGCTGGCCCTTAGAGGTTGAAGCTTTGAACTGCTTTATCTTGTAACAGAGCCCGAGTCAGGCATAGTCATCTCCAGCATGGGGAGAGCACAGAAGCACCTTGAAGCTGACTTCTGCTCCAACTGTGTGCTCAGTACAGCTCAGGAGGCCTGGCAGATGCTACTGTTACTTGACTGTTATTTTTCCTGTAACTGGCAGCCTAGCCATTCCAGTCCTGAATGTTAAAGCAGATCTGGAAACCCTGTTGGTTCATTGATGCTTCAAGCTCTTCAAAAACATGGCAGAATATTTTTCAGCTATTCTATTGCAAAAGAGAGCCTGAAGAATTTTGAACTCTCGTTCTACCTATAAGATTCTGGAAACTCTGAAACTCAGCTCTCTTACAAAAGGGTAGGCGTGCTGCATCCAAAGACTGAAAAATCCCAAATCGGGCCTGACATTCCTGAGGTTGTCTTGCAAATTATTCCATTAAAAGAAAATAGATTTAAAACAACAAAACCTACAACCTCCACGCTGCCATCGTAAGGCTGCTCTTCTTCCCTGTGTAGATTCTGATTATTTGGAACACCCTTGGCTTGTGTTTTCAAACTGTTCTTCACAGACACGGGGGCTGCAAAACTTCCTGAAAAGAAAAAAAAAAAAAATCCATAATGAGTAATCCTGGTCATATTCTTATGTAACCCCTGGAACTTAGGAGCTGTGACTAAGACAAATACCAGCTATTGCAAGAGCTACCACTAAACTCTGATTCACCACCTAAAATAGCAGAAGCATTGGAGGAGTCTGGGAGACAGGTCTGCAGGGTAGGCAGAAAGGGAGGAGCAACAAATGGCTGACACTGGAGGCAGAGGAAGGATGGAGCTATACTTGGTGCTGTGAGGAGGGCAAGCGAGAAGGTAATGCTTAAGTCGGTACCCATGGAAGGTGAGGCAGGTAGCCTGTAAGCTTTTCCTGCAGAAAAAAAATGGAAAGTTCCATCTAAATGGTAGAACAGTCCTGCTTTCACCCCATGCTGGTTTGTCATGGATGTGTTTCTTTCTCAAGGGGCTGTAGGGGGAACCTAGGTGACTTTTTGTTTTAGCTGGCCAAAGCAGCAAGGCAAAATGAAAGAAACATGCACATGCCGTGACAGGTATTGTAGTGGTTTAATTCAGGAGTTTCCTAATCCTGCACTTTGAAATGTTCCCTCAGGAATTGATAGCCCAACCAATGTGGCAACTGACCGAGTGACAGAGGACACAGCCACTGTCTCATGGACTAAAGTTGAGGCTCCCATAGACAGGTACATGGTGAGATATACCTCAGCTGATGGGGACATCAAGGAAATAGAGGTGGGGAGTGAAAATTACATCCTCACCTTACTGGATCTGAAGCCAGGCATGGAATATGTCATCCACATCTGGGCAGAGAAGGGACTCCAGCGGAGCAGGAAGGCAAGCACCAGAGCTGTGACAGGTAAGTTGTAGCAGCAGCAGCGGGAGCTGAGTTTGAATTTCAAACTCCTTCATCAATTTTACCTGTTTCAGTAAAGCTTCTCCTGCTTTGCACAGGTTTTTAGTGACGCAAAAAATTCATGTCATTCTTCAGGTCTCCAGCTCAGCTTGAAAACTCTTTGTTTTGAGTCCTGTTATGGACGGGTTTTATGGCAAGGCACCAGTTACTGTCAGAACAGAGAACAGTGAAACACAACTAAGACTGAAGCCTTGTAGCTGGAACACATAATTCATGCCTTGCCTTTAAAATACCATAAACCACCTCCAAGCTTTTTGTTGGGTGACTGTTGTGGCCTTTCCCAACAGGACAGGGGGCTCATACACATTTTGCACAGATATTCATGACAGAGTGTTTGTTAAAAAGGAAAAACAAATTTATTGGGATCATGGCATAAGGTAAGAATCATGTGGAGAATCAAATCTCCGAACAGGACATTTGGTCACCGTCCCTTGATGGCCGGGAGTCTCCACTGGAAGGGTGCTTGCAGCAGGTTCTGCAGCTAGATTGGCAAACTCCTCGAACCACTGTTTTGCTCAGTTCTTATAATCCTGCCAGCCATGGTCCGATGTGGCTGTGTGTACAGGAGCAGTTTCTGCTGACGATTTACAAATGTCTTATCTATGTGCAATCTGTACTTCTGCAGCAGAAATTACCTAGGGGAGTGTTTGGGATGCTCCACTCAGGATGTTAACCAACACATTTAAGCATATAAATTGGACTAGACACAACAGGAGCTGCTTCAGGGAACTTGTAGGACTGTCTGAAGTTCCCACCCGGAGGGGATCAGTAAAGATCAGTCAAATGCTTAATTATGAAGTTCAGTCAATCACCTACTTTCAAGTTGGTCCATTGTCTCAAGCCAGCCCATGTTCTCACTGATATTCACAGGTGACTGGCTGGGGAGCTCCTGGACCACCCAGGGAGTTAAGGAGTTAAATGCACTGCATATGTATATGGCACAGCCCATACTCAGCTGCAATGCAATTATAACTAAAGAACAAACTTGATTTTCATATCACTTGTTTTTCATATCACACAAGAAAATCATTCACTTGATTTTTTTCTTGCCACAGGTGAGCATCTTACACTGCTAACTAGCTGAGCTGTGATTATTCAAATACATGTTCCCAGTGTGCGCCGCTCTAGGGTGACACAAACAAGCCTCAGCATCTTTCATTAAAATGAGAAGTACTGTATTTTCATCTCACAAAAGAGGTGAGATTAGTACACATAGGTGGAAAATCACAGCTTTTACCATAGCTAATGCGTGGTCAATCATAGTGCAGCTGAGCTGGTGTGTGGTAAATTACAGTGTGGCTGTCAGATGGTTGTGCATTTGTGCCCTGGAGCTTAGAGCCTGCAGCAGAATAAGCCAGAATAAGAAATGCTGTTCCAATAATTTGGGAGGCATCTGCAAGTCCTTCGTTGCTCAGGCTGCTGAGATGTATTTAGCAGTTCAGTGAAGGAAAAAAAAACAACAAACAAACCCACAAAAAAACCATGCTCTCTGTATAGGTTATGGGCTGTTGGGCTGTCCTCAACATTCCTGCAGGTTGCTTTGTGATAGTGACTTAAGGCTCGTGAAGTCTAGCGTCATGTTTCTGTCTGTGTAAAGGGCAAGGGAAAGATTGTGATAATGGGAAGAAATTGAAAGTGGCTTTTTTTCTAGTGGGGAATGTGAACATAGTTCTCACTAGTGTTGTTGCCTGGTTCTTCACCTTCAAACCTTCTCTTAAGAAATTGCTAGCATAGTGTCCACGTAGCGGCCAGATGGCTGACAGAAGACACAGTCACAATCTCCTGGGATAGGGTCTGGCCTCTGACAGGTACTTGTTGAGATACAACACAACTGATGGGGACACAAAGGATATGGAGACGGGGAGGGACAAGAGTGTCACTGCTCTGACAGGACTGAAGCCAAACAAAAAGTATGCTATCAGCCTCTGGGCAGATAGAGGAGCCCAACAGATGTCAAAGCTGTGATAGGTAGGAAGTTTTGCCTGAATATGAAATAATCTTGTTCCAGAAGAGCTGCTTTTCAGACAGAGATTCTGAGCAGGTGATTTGGTTTTTGGGTTAATTCCCAGAGCAACCCAGACAAGAGGTTGTGATCTTCAGAAAGCAAGGGACACCACATTCTGCATGGGCTTTCCTCTCTGCCCATGCAGGGTTGGCTGTGCTTTTGTCACTCCCCAACAAAGAGCCCTGCTGTTGCAGCTGTGAGGAGAAGAGCTAGACCCCAGATGAAATACCTCAGAATTGGGCATCTCCCAGCTTTGTAGTTCAGTCCCATCCTTGATAAAAAATAAAGGATGAGAAGTGGAAGAAATTGGCTGGGCCCTTGAGGGGAAGGAGTAAGTGTAGCTTCACTGGCACAACCCGTGTTCTTCACCCCTAACTGTTCCTGCGGAAATCAGCAGCCCAGCTCACCCAACACAGGGGCAGAGGGCTGACGGGCCCTGTCAAGGCTCGGCCACCTGGGCACTGTCATGCAAGTCTATTTAGCAATGTGTCAGGAATGGTAGGACTTGCAAGCAGTTAGTACCCTTGTTTTATCTACCTTGCGCTGTATCCAACAGTACAAAATGGTTTGGCTCCACAAATGATGATATCCAATGGGACTCGCTTAAGTGTCAGTTATTTACTGCATAATCAAAACACAGTTTATAGCTAAAGATAAAACTTCCATTAGATTTACCAGTTTGAGCTGGAGAAAAAAACAAGCAAGCTTTTGGACACAGAAGCCCTTTTTATGTCTTTGGGCATAGAATCATTTCCCAAAGCTCATCTGTTTTTCCAAATGTATTTGATAGTCTAATAAAACATACTACCTCTGCCTATAAAACTTGTGTTGTCTGTGTCTTTAGACCATTATGATTACCACATCACTATACTAAAACTAATAATAATTATGACTTTCGCTTACAGAAATCGACAGCCCAACTGAGCTGTTGACTGACCAAGTGACAGAGGATGCAATTACTGTTTCCTGGAACAAAGTCCAGGCTTCAATAGATAGATACAGAGTGAGCTACACCTCGGCTAATGGGGACACAGAGGAGAGAGAGATGGAGAAAGACAAGAATGTTACTACCTTGGCAGGACTGAAGCCAGGCACGGAGTACATCATTTACATCTGGGCAGAAAAGGGAGAGCAACAGAGCAAGAGGGCCAGCACAGAGGCTGCGACAGGTAAGAGAGCAATAGGTTGAGTTAAGAGTGTAAGTTACAGCCCAGCTTTGCCTTAACACTGAATAAGTCCATCCCAAGGCAGTTTCACAGCAGAGGGAGATTCAGGCTTAAGAGATTGAGTCTTCGGGTTAGTGCATCTTGCTGTGAAACCTATTCAACTCGTCACAGAGAGATCCTAATTACCTGTATGTACTACAAATGGGCTATGTTGTGATTACTAACAAGGATTAGGAAAAACGAAGCCTTTGCAGCAGTGTCTCTTACATATTTGTATAGTCTTGTTTTATTTTAATTGATTAACTCATTTATCCTTCATCATGGACTAAGGAAACGCTCGGTTCCTTTTTTTGCAGATGAAATTGAAGTGCAGAGAGATTAACAGCATGCAGGATGCCTTTTCTTGTAATAGGATGATTAATCCTTGTTCCTCAGTTGTTCTTACCAGGACTTTCTTCCCCTGTGCGGCCAGTGCTGGTTAAGAAGGTGTAGTGATCAGCCCAGTGTGAGGGTTACTGGTTTATAACAACATTGTAAAGCTGAATGTCTGAATCAATTGCAAGCTGTTGCAAGTGTTTACAAGACCTATGCTCTAGGTCAGGGACTTGCTGAAGGAAGATGAGTAAATGCATACCTGGGTCATCCTGGTCTCTTAACAAAACGGCTTTGGTTGTTCTCTCACTTTCTGGACGGATGATGTCTATGTGAGCTTCAGAAGCTTGTGACCTTGAGAAAATAAGAAAGTAACAATATCTTGCTTTGCAAGGCTCTCTTCTCTCCAGGTCAGGACTGGCTGTGCTGTTCCCTCAGAAAGCTTCTGTAAGGATTAAAGGCAGACCCCAGTCAAATCACCTCAGACCTTGATAACCTTCCAGCTTTGTGGGTCCAATCAGTGTATGATCAGAAATAGGACTTGAAAACAGAAGAAACTGGCAAGGCCCTTGAGGGGAAGGAGTGTCACAGCATCACATTACAGCCTGACTATGACAGCCTGTGTTCTTCACTTTTAACTGTCTCTGCAGAAATCGACAGCCCAGCTCACCTGGTGACTGACCAAGTGACAGAGGACACAGCCACCATCTCCTGGGACAGGGTCCAGGCTCTCATAGATAGGTACATGGTGAACTACACCTCTGTTGATGGTGACACAGAGGAGATGGAAGTGGGAAAGAATGAGACTACCACAACTCTGACAGGACTGAAGCCTGGCATTGAATATGTCATCTTCCTCTGGGCAGAGAAGGGAACCCGGCAGAGCAAGAGGATCGGCACTGAGGCAGTGACAGGTATTCCAGAGAATCTTTGTGCTTCTACATGACACTATGTTGAGGAGGTGACTTCAATTTCTGTCCTGTTTTCTTCTAGCCTGTTGCAGAGCATATAGTAGACACTGGTTTGTCTTGTGGTCACCTATGATGTGGGGACATCCATGCTACAGGCACCTTCAGTCTTCAAATAGAGATGCTGCCAAGTCTGGAGAACTTTTAGGAACTAATGACTACTCTGTTAGTTCAGAAACTATCAGCCCAGTGTGAGCTTCAGAGCACTTTGCTAAAGCACTGTGGTCCTCACTTATCAGCTTTGCCTGCTCTTTTTGGTCTTCAGGTATGCTAAGTTTTGCAGGTATGGCTGAACTCTGCCCCACAGTATACATTACTGCTGTTGAATCCTGCCTAAATTTAGGATAGTTCAACTAGTGTCACTGATAAGAATAGTATTTATCAATGAATCAAGACTTGGAAGGAAACACCCCTGTTTTAATCATCTCCCAAAACATGAAAGGGTAGCAGATAGTTTGAGCCTGGATAAAGTCTCTTAACTATCAGTAATTCCCTTTGTATAATCAAGGTTTTTGCTTACAGAAGTTGGCTGCTTAGCTAGGCTGAAGACTGACTGGCAGAGGACACTGCTAGCGTTTCCTGGGAACGAGGGAGAGATGGGGTAGGACATAGGTCTCACTATCCTGGTTAGTTTGAAGCCAGACGTGGTGTACATCATCTGTGTGTGGGCAGGGAAAGGATGCAAGCAGAGCAAGAGGGCAGGCACAAACACTTTCATGGGTGACCTGTGGAAATCTTGGGTTGTGATTTTGCAGCTGTGGAAGGAGGAATGTAGCTTCACATGGTGAATTAGCTATGATTATGTTCTCTGGCCACCTCTTTTGCCATGACCTTCTTCCCTCAGTCATACGGTAGAGATGTGTTACACCTTGCTGGCACCTCACAGCTCGAAAAGAGATATTTGTGGGGGAGGCTGATAAAGGAGAGCAGAGTGTTGGTGCTGCCTCACATCTTTTTCTTTGCCTCAGCGTACCCTGTGTTGGCCAGGACTCCAGGCCCTACATGGTCTCAAATAACTGGTCTAATGGATCTCTCTTGAGGCTGTGTCAGACCTAAATTCTTATGAACCTTAAATTTCAGTTGGACCTTCTTCAGCACCATCATTCTTCCCTGTATCCCTGCTTGATATTTTACTCCTGAGGCCTCTGTCTGAAGATGGCTGCACCTCAGTACCTTACCTTGTCTTACTCCAGTTCTGCATTGTCAATAGCAAGCGTGGTGATTAGCCACTGAGACCCAGTCAAGCTACAGATGAGTTAGTCCATGTCATCCTTTGCTTCCTGAGGGTAGGATCATGGGCCTTTAGAAAGCAAAAGTTTTAAGTGGAACATGTGTGTCTTTAGTTACCGACACTTTCTACTCTGCGCTTTATTTCTTAGAAATGGACAGCCCAAAGAATCTGGTAACTGACCAAGTGACAGAGGACTCGGCCACTATCTCCTGGGATAGCATCCAAGCTCCCATAGACCGGTATATGGTGAGCTACACTTCTGCTGATGGGGACACCAAGAAAATAGAAGTGGGGAAGGACAGGAGCATTACCACCCTGACTGGACTGAAACCAGGCATGAAGTACACCATCCATCTCTGGGCAGAGCTGGGAAGCAAGCAGAGCAAGGGAGTGAGCATTGGCACGCTGACAGGTAACTGTGGGCAGGACGGGAAGTGAAACAGGGTAGAAGGACCCTACTCCCTTCTTATTTTTACATTTCATCATCTCTTTTCGTGTTAGTGGGTAACGAAGATCAACAGTGGTAAACCCATTCTGGAGATTCAAGTGCGTGAGCATGGACTACCAGAGACTATTATTATAGAAGAGGCAGATGTCGTAATACAGGAGTAATGACAGCGGATGGTACCCATCTTATTTCACTGGTCCTTAATCAAAAGCATGCGGTGCTTCATGTGCTGCTATCAAGCCTAACAATAGCAACTGAAGTTAAACGATTTTAGAATTGGGGACAGTTAAAAATAATGGCCTGCCCTATGACTTGTGACCTTAGACTGGTCCTAGGAGACTGCCAAGCAGGCTTAAATCTGTCCTGTTCAGTCAGTCGTAAGGATTATGGTGTACTGGGAACATTTCAGGGTCACTCCATATCCATTGGCCTTGCTAATGTACTTTTTCTTAGTTTATGAATCAAGCTGGTGTGAGATAGAACAGTTGAAGCTTGGATTTAGGGCAAGATGCCAAGCAGTTCCCCAGTGCTTACAGAGGTCAAGGGCAGCTGATGGGGACAAATGGAGATCTCTTGAGACCAAAAAACTGAATCTATCTGGAACTAGAAATGCAAAGAGCGTTTCAGCAAGTTGAAATGCTGGGGTTTTTTTGAACTGGAAAGAAAATGGAGACACCTGGAAATTTCACATGAAGTGAAACTGCTGGGAGAGGGAATGCATTTAGCATTAGTAGGGATATTTTAAAAATATCTGCAGAAAAAAAACATGTAATTTTTTTTGTTGTTACTGTTATATTTCCAAAAGTAATGACATTTCTGCTAAAGTAATATGACTTCTGAGGGAAAAAACCCCAACATTTTCTAACTCAGGGTGATGGCTAATTATTCCCTAGCTTTCAAACCGGCTGTGGCAGGGAGCTATTCTGCGGTGGTCTCCTGCACCAATGGAAACTGCTGACTGGCCTTCAAGGGCAGTGCTGTGAAACTGCAGGACTCTCTAAGGCTGCCTTTCTCATCCCTTGCTTCTCGTGATGGATTTGGTACCTTTTAGCTCCCTCTTCTGTCCAGCGGGAGGTATACATGTAATGAGCTACTCTCAGAAGATTTCTGTGTCCTTTTATTTAAAGCAGTTGTTTAGTGGTCTCCCAAATGAAGCATGAATTCATTAGATAATGAACTAATGCTTAACTCGGAGGCTAATGAAAGGTGGGTTTCAGTTATAATGAATAGCCAGTGTTTTAAACAACATGCTCTGTGAATGTCGGTGTTCCTGTCCCTGTTGGTCTCCTTATATTTGGTGTTTTGATTTCTTCTTCTCTGCCTTTGTATCTGTTTTAAGCGGTAACCCAATACACAAGGAGTGCAGTGCTTCCTGGGAGAAGCCACATTGCTCCACTCTTCTCATTTATCTAAGACAGACATAGCTTGGCCTTGTCTTCCTCCAGGGCCTTTTCACAAATTCAGTATTTCATTGATGCATTATAATTGTTGTTGTGATTATCCTCATAGCACTCTTCAAGGTCTAGGAAGTGTTGTTGCCTGGTTTATATGGAGAAGAACTGAATCAAGGGACAAGTTAAATGACATGCCTGTAGTCTCCTAGGGAGGTCTGTGGAAGAACAGGGAATTGAGATGAATTATTCAGTTATAGTTTGATATGAACTCAGGTGTACTTCAGGGTTGGAGCGCTCTTCCCTGAAGGCCGGCACTGCCCACCAAGAACCTTCTCTCTAAAACTTGGAAAGCTAGACAAACCTACTCCTTAAATTGTTTTCCTTAAAACATTCCCAAAACACCAGAATACAGGAAGCATAGGATGAAAATTCGGGAGAGGCTTCTTCCGTTGTTGTTACTTCCAACTGAGCTTTAGAAATTGCTTTTATCCTGAGGGAAGCATTGCAGCCCTGTTGTGGGTATCTCATAAGACAGATGCTTTTTGACAACTGCTGTGAACTGGCATTGCTTAAAAATAATTCTGTTCTCCTCATGCTGAACTTGGGCAGTCTGACTGCACAGGAAAAGTCTGGCTAAGGCTTTGATGTCAGTGATGGAGCTGGTGTCCCATATATAGCACAGACTAAACTGTAAAGCTGTGGGTTTCTTTGTATTCCTGCATTTACTGAAGAAGGCTGAAGCATGAAAAAAATCAAGCCTCTGAAGTCATTCTTCTTCTGCAGTAGGGAAACAAGGGGTAGGGGCTCTCAGCAGGGCATGCTAGGGCCATACTCCAGGATAGGGGCATAGACACCAAACCTGACCTATCTGTGATTGCTCTTCAGAGATGAGCCCGATGGAGGCTTCTCAGGCAGACGTGTCAGGAGCTCCTGGGCCCTGTACAGCTGAGCCAATTGCAGGGCTCACAAAACATCCCAAACCACATCTGTAGCAGACCTTGCCATGTTTGGTGTAGGCTTCTGCTGCTTCTTGCTAGCTGTGAAGGTCACTGGGTGACTTCAGTAGTCCCCCTTAACAGGATCAGGCATTGAAAGCTCAGCCCAAGCCCTGCACTGCAGTTGCTGTCTTTCATTTATGCAATGGGACTTGAATTTTCTTTTCTTTTTCAATAGAGATTGATCCTCCCAAGAACCTCCGTGTATCAGGTGTGACTCATTCTACCGGCGTGGTTACCTGGACTCCTTCTGCAGCACAGATTGATGGCTACATTCTGACTTACCAGGGTCGAGATGGCATGAGCAAGGTACAGTGAATTTCTCAGCACTGCAGACCCCACTGAAATCACCCCTATGATTATGGGCTCTGCCAGTTGGGTCTTGTGGGTATATGGTCCACAGAAAAACAATTTTGAGGGGGGATCTATACTATCCATGGCCCAGGGAGGGAGAGCTGAAGGAAGGAGATGTGCTACTGTCATGAGTAGAAGCTGTGGAGGGACTTTGTGACAGTGGAATGCCTCTTCCCAACAGATCTCCAGATGCAGAGAACATGTTTGCCTCTTTACTTCTCTTTTCTAACTTGATGTTACCTGGAAGGGCAGCACTCACCAGGGGTAGAGCGTCCTCAGTGTCCTAACAGTGTTTCTTGAGACCTTGCCCCAAATCTTCCTTCTGCGGAGATGGAGTCCATGTCTCACGTGAATGTGCCTGTCTGAACTCTACAAGAAAAGCCCATAGATGCATATGGAGTATGAGGCACTGTGGTCCAGAAAAGCTAAATGCTATTCAGAGTTGGGTTAACCTTTGATCTGTTTTATTTGGCAGGAAGTACAGCTGAGTCCTAGAGAACAACAGTTTGTGCTGGAAGGACTGGAACAAGGAGTGAGGTATACCATCCTTGTGATGGCCTATAAGGGAGACCGCCAGAGCAGAAAGACAGATAGTGCCTTTTCAACAGGTAGGATTTGGCCTTGGGTGTTGCACTTTTCCCTGTGCTCTGCAGCTGTTGTGCTTTATCATGGAGATCAGAGACAGAGTTCATGTTCTACAGATGCACTGGGAAACACTGTGATCATAAGCAAACCATCTAGCAAGTCAATGATGTGTCTCCTGGCTGGGAGTCCATTCTAAGCCACACCATCTGGAGGCTTGAAACACAATGGGATGGTGAGAGTGGAGATTGCCCACACTGGTCAGTGCTGCTGGCAAACCTTGCTAGCCAAGTACAGGACAAAGCCTCCTGGTGAGCTGCCAGTGGGCAGGAGGGATGATGATACGGTAGAGATCTTTCTGTACCATCCTAGTAATGGTGGGGCACAGCTGTTTAAGTACTGTCGTGGCATTGGGTAGCTGCCCAGGTTGTTTTCAGAGGTCAGGAAATGTACACCAGAATGGCAGCAAATCAAACAAAAGCTCATGCCAGTTTGCTGTGGGAGCCTCTCGTACTGTGCCAGTGCCCACAGGGATTGCCAATTGTGGATAAATTGTGAAATGCAGAGAAATTAAGTGCATTAAAGTGGCTTTTTACTGGCACTCCCCCCTTGACAAACAAGGGCTGCTCTTCCTGCTCTCACTGCAACCCAGGACTGCATCTCTTGCAGCCTGTGGGGACCCCATGCATGTGCCAGCTCCCAGGCAGTGGGGAAGGCAGCCAGCAGCAACTTGCTGATGCTGCTCACTGCGTGAGTGCCCGGTGGGGGCTGCTGGTTTCTTTACTTCTCTTCCAGTACCATAGCCCTTAGGAGATTGCTAAGGGTGTGAAATGCCTCCCCCAGCTCTATGGCCTGCTTTGCTGATGTGAAGTTTTGCCGTCTCTGTTCTCACAGTTAGCTTTCTCTACCCATATCCTGCGGACTGCAGCCAGACGCAGCAGAACGGAAATGCCTCCAGCGGCCTGTACACCATTTACCTGAACGGGGATGGCAGCCGGCCGATGCAGGTGTACTGTGACATGACCACTGATGGAGGCGGGTGGATAGTGAGTGATTCTCTGCTCCTTTTTGTGTTTGTTTTTTTTTTTAATGAATGTAATTAAGTGGACCTGCTAGTGGTGTTAGCTGAGGCTTCCTTTGCTCTACTGCACTACTGTGTTTCAGCTCCTGCCTTGGTGGAGTGGCACGTTTTAGAGAGGGTGGTGGATGCTGATGTACCCCTTCGGACTGTCAGTAGGAATGCTGTGGGAGGCTGAATGGCTCAAAGGCTTTTTCATTGTTTGGTCATGAATGCCACACAGGCTTATATTATTGCAGATTGAGGGCAATTACTGAGTTGTGACAGCTTAATGTGTTACCTCTTGCCAGTTGGGTCACGGGAGTTGTCTATGATGGTGCAGTCAGCCATGTCATAAGATGAGGTAGTACAGCTTAGCTTAACTGCCTTTCATAATGAGTTAACTAAGCTATATTATCTCATCTTGACCACATTATAAGGTTACATGTATGGACAGTTAATGCAGTTCAGCTGACGCCTGTTAGCATTGTAAATGCTAGTACTGTGAGCATGCACCTGGACCCTGACCACACAGTAGTTGTTGAGTGGCTCAAGGGAATCTGGAGGCAGAAGCACAGATGCTTTGAGGTGAGGAATGTGTATGAACATGAAAGAGTGAATTGGAGGTTCTCTGGTAGCTGCCTCCCTAAACGACCAAATAAAAATATCTTTATTCCCTTCTTCACCTTTCATTTTCAGTGATAAGTGATTTTATTCACTGAAATAATTTGCTGTGTCTTACTGTCCAAGTCCTTCTGATTTTGGTGAAGTTTAGAAACCCAGATGTCTCTCTGGATCTTGTCCCTAAGCCTGTTTTGTCTAAGTGTTTAGATCACGCTCAGGTTTGTGCTGTCCGTAGGCATTTGTGGAAAGTAAACTGCAAAATTTGCACAACTAAGTATTTACCCCAGCTGCTTCTGTGCAGTCAGAAAATGAAAATGGATTCCTGTGTGTACCCTGCTCAGGTGCAGTGTACCATCAGCTAGAGTTGTCTGTTCCTGGATGCTTCACCTTTTTGTCTGCGTTTGAATCAGGATGAGCATTTCTCACCCCACATCATCCTTGTCTCTCCTCAGCCTGTCATGAACTCTCACACAGCAATCTTTGCTTTGCAGGTGTTTCAGAGGCGGAGCACTGGCGAGCTGGACTTCTACAAACGCTGGAAAAATTATGTGGAAGGCTTTGGAGATCCCACTGGGGAATTCTGGCTTGGTACAGTACAAGGGTGTGACCAGTGAAGAGCTGAAGATTAGCTTTGTAGAAGCACCTAAATGCTGAAATATCCAAACCCCCCCCCCCAGTCTGCAGTCTGGAACTGTCAGCTTTTCTGTTTTCCCTAGAAGTGCCAGTGAAGCATTGAGGGATCTCTAAAGGCCCATTAAGTCTTTCCACTGGCTTGTTTGGGCTTTGGAGTAGTCTCAGAGCAAGCCAAACTCTGGAAAGCTTTATTTCAGGCTTGTGTGTTCCTCTGAGAGGAAAAATAAAGAAATTGCATTTGTGAAAATGCAAAGTCCAGGATACTACACAAAACTTGGTGTATTAGGTCATTTTTTTGTCTGTCTTATTCTGTTAGGGAACTCTGCGTGGATCAGAGAATCCAGCACTAAATAGGTCAAGGTCTTTGGAGCAAGAGTCTTTAAATGTTCTGGGAAAAATAATGTTGCACTACAGCCTGTCTTGTGCTGGTTTAGGCTGTTTGTTTTTTCTGATACTGCTGTCTCTTGCCAGAAAATGAGATAAGACAGAATAAACTTGGCAAAATGTCATGACAGCATCAAGCAGGGAAGGAGGGAGGCAGGAAATAGCTGATTTAACCAAAATGGCCATAGGGTGAGAGTCTAGCACTGCAAAGGTGAACAGGCTTTTCCCTTTTAAGAGTAATTTTTTTTTCTTCTAGGTCTTGACAAGCTGCACAATCTCACAAGCATCAGCCCCATCCGCTATGAGCTCCGGGTGGATTTGCGAACAGCCAGCGAATCTGTCTATGCTGTCTACGACTTCTTCCAGGTTGCCTCGAGCAGGGACAGATACAGGCTGTCGGTGGGGAATTACAGAGGCAATGCTGGTGAGGAGTGCCCGTAATTGTGCTGCCTCTGCTTCGCATAGGGCAGCAAATGCTGGGACCTGTGTATTTGTTTTGCCACTAGCATGGGAGCTCATTAGGTCAGGTTAGATCAGATGGTGGTTCTCTTTGAGGAGAGAAGTCTGTACTTCCTAGGAAGACTGAAGAGAGTGTGCCCACAAGCCCATCTCTTGCTGAAGATGGGAGAAAGAGTTGCTCTTCCACAGGGAAGAGAGGGCTCTGTAACCCAGTGAAACACCAGCTGAAAAGGCAGACTGGGAAGCATTTCCATGAGGTAACCTGTGCTGATGGGGGAGCAACGTCTGGGGCTCCCCAGCTGAGAAGCACAAAGAAAGTGGCTTTTGTTCAGGATGGGAGTTTGCTCAACAGCAGTAGCCATCCCAGTGCTGGCTTCTGCCACTGGTAAATCCTTACCATTGCCATTGTGTCCATAGTCTTCCACTTACCCTTTAATCTCCTCTTGCCATAAGGTTTAGATCTTCAGCTGGGGGGTTCCAGCCCTTGGACATGCCCTCTAACAGCAGCCCTTTAGAAATTATTGTCCAGACCCATCCTGCGCTGTTGCTTTTCCCCTGGCAGGCCTGCTCTGTTCTGCCTGAAGGGTGAATAAGCCCTCAGGCTGAGCAACTGTAGTCTCTTACTCCTGGTCATGTCTTTCATCCCTTCCCTTAGGGGATGCAATGACCTACCACAATGGCTGGAAGTTCACAACGTGGGACAGGGACAATGATGTGGCTCTCAGCAACTGTGCTCTGACGCACCATGGCGCGTGGTGGTACAAGAACTGCCACTTGGCCAACCTCAATGGGAAATATGGGGAGAGCAAGCACAGCGAGGTGAGTGGCAGAGCTCTGTGTGGTGGTCAGCTCTTCTCTCTAGCCTTGAGAAAACACATGGGAGGATGTCTCTCCTTGGAGCAGGAGAGATTGCTAACTCATTTCATCTGAAAGGAAAATGATCCATAAGGAAGCTTATAGCTCTTACTCTGTCCTCCCTGGATCCAGAGGACTTGAGCTCATGGCCCCCTGATTCTTGAGATACTTGAGGTGGAGCTGTATTGATTTCTGAGGGGAACACATGAAAGAACACTCACTAGGAGCCACGCTAGGGTGCTGGCTCACTGTCTCATGTAGCCCATACCTTGGCTTTCGGTGCATGCCTTGGTGTGCATCTCTTTGTACAGGCTTATTTTGGGCTTGAAGGTGGCTCAGTCCTGTTGTGTTCCAAACTGGATAGAGATTTGATTTACATTAGGAGTGTCTGGAAGACTGATTATAATTATAGTCAAAATCTGGTGAACGATAGCGTCTCTGTTTATTGGAGGGTTAAATGGTATTACAGGGGGGCAGTGGTAGACTCCTAACGCCTGGTCTGGGTGCTTTAATAAAAGAAGTTCCTTGGTCTTTTCCCAGGGGGTGAATTGGGAGCCATGGAAAGGCCATGAATTCTCCATCCCTTTTACCGAGATGAAGATCCGTCCTCAGTCTTCCAGTAATGAGCCAATCCTGGGGAGGAAGAAGAGGTGTCTATCAGGGAAGAGGAAGAAGATCAGGGCTTAAATCGAACTCTGTGCAGGAACAGTACCCAAAGATAATGATTCAGTATTTCTTAACAAAGTTAGATTCGTACAGCTTTCTCCAATACATTGGAGACAATCGCTGACAGACGTGCACCCAGAGACCTCTGGATCTGCAGCCCAGCCTGCTTCCAGCCTTTGGAGCTCCTGATGGGTGATCTGTCAGAGGCTGGGAGGGGGCTTGTGGGGAGCATCCAACTTGTAGCTCCCCTGGTTGGCTAAACGTGGTAAGAGTTGTGTTTTGGGAAATGTTGTCAGGCTGTTGGCAAGGTTCTTTAACCCAGGTGAGGTCTGTAGTCTGGGTTCCTCAGCCTCGAGTATTGCATCTCTCCAGATGATCTGCTCTATATTTTGCTTGTCTCTTCTTGTCTCCCAGCCCAAAGAAAAGCCTGAGGAGACATGCAGTGAGTTAATGTTCGTGCTCCTGGGTGAGGCCCAGAACAGGGTGAGTGTAAGGGCTATACTCCTCCAAGCTCTGCTCACCAACCCAAGCCTGTCTCTGCATACTGCTTGCCTAAGAGGCCACTTACAGACCATGAACAAAATTCTCTATGCGACTGTCCCATCTGCCACCTTCTGCTTTTTCATTAGCAGTGTGGTAGCTAGTGATGCTGAAATGATAATGCTTGTCATCCGCCTCTAAAACGAACATCTCTTGAGTTAAACTGATCGTGCATGCTCTCCATCAGGCTTTTCTTTCAGGCTGTCTGCAGATTCAGGTGGACCCCAGTGTATGGTTTCACATTTGGCTGCTTTTTTTTTTCTTCACAGCCATAAAGGTGAGTTTTATTTTCTTTCCCTGAGCAGATATTAAAATTCTGGACCATCAGCTACAGCCAGGGAAGAAGTATGAGCTCACCAAATGATGCTTGCTCAAAGGCTTCTTTGTCTGAGCAGATTGGAACATGATTGTCCTATGTCTTAATGGCCTTTTCTATCCCAGTGTTAAGCTGAGTAATACATTTTAAAGAATCCATCCCAGACTTCGGGGAAGCAATACAATTGCAAATAAAGGAGGTCTTAAAATATTTCTATCTTCTTTGCTTTGAGTGGCAGAATTATTTTTTTTCCCCCCACTTAAACTAAGCCTTCTTTACGGAGATGGAGCAATACCCAGGCCCTTAGCATTGCCAGAGCAATGTGGAAAGACTGGGGCTGTGAAAATTAGGTCTTTGGAGTCTGCTCCAAAACAGGGATGGGGACTATGTGATCTCTTCGTGACTGAATACTGCAAAGCAATTAACTGATCCGTGGCTGCTAGGACCTGGCTGAGGAGAGCTAGCTAGAGAGCCTTCTCTCAAAGGTGAGTACTAAATTCTTCATAGTACTTTCAGGGCTGCGCCTCTTGCGTAGGTGGACAGGCAGAGACTCACCTGAGCTGCGTTAGGATATCTGAGCCCCAGTATGGGGGAAGAAGGAGATGAATGGAGGGAGGAGATGAAAGGAAAATTGCACTTGAAGTGTTTTGTGGGCTCTGTGCTAAGAGCATGAGAGGAGGACACAGGAAAACAATGAGGGTCCTTTACTGTGGTGAAGTGATTTCTCACCATTGCCCGCTTGTCTGTAGGCGAGGACAGGTTTCACTATGTTGTTCAGTTAACGGGCACGGCGTAGACATGAGGAAGGTGACTGAGGGGGACCGGAAGACTAGCCTCACACACAGCCACTCTAAAAGTAAGGGTATGCTCTAAAAAGCAGCAGGCGTGATTGTGCCCAGCAGCTCTTTCCTGTGCAAACCTCGGAGGCAAAGCACAACCCCCTTCTATCGCTGAATCTTACCTGAGAGCAGGGAATATTCTTTTAAGCGGTATGAGCTTTGTATGTCAGAGATAAAGGCAAATGAGACACCTTACTTGCAGTTTCTGAGGGGGGTTCACTTGTCTCTCCTAATTATGGGTCCCTCTTTCACCAGGAAGGGCAGTCAAAGTGGCGGTGGCTGGAAAACCACTGTGGGAAGTTAGTATTTCCAAACAGCCACAGGATGGCATCATCTCTTCATGCTAGTGCAGGAGAAACTTCCCTGTATCCAGCTGGCCTCTGTGGAAAGACCTTTTTGGGGTTAACGGGAGTCTGTGCTACAGCTTTAGAAGCTGGTACTGCTCAGATAATGCAGTTTGTTTGCCTCCAGGAACTGGCTTTTCTGGTTTCAAGTCTCAGGCTGGTTGTGGGAGTCCCATAAAAATTTCACATCCTCTTACTACCCTTGTTTTGCTGCAATACCCAGCCCTGTAATGGTGTTGCCGTAGGGCCAAAACAGATTCTCGAAACCTCTGCCTTGCCCTGAGATCACTTAAATTTTATAGCCAGTGAGGTTTGCAACATGCCGAGGGGCAGAATTTGTATCCCAGAAGGATCCTCTCTGCCTTGGCGTCACTGTGTTGATGGGGACTGTCCCGTTGCTGGGCCCCAGGAGACAGGACCTATCTGTTGTGATACATCTGGGGTGCAGCACTGCCAGTGCTGCTGTGGGGGACCCCAGCAAAATGCCACTGCAGGAGGAGAGGTGGTGGATCCTTCACCCACCTCCCCACAGTCCCAGCACCTACCCGGGAGGAGGAGGGAGAAGGCATGCCTCTTCCCAAAGATGTGGCACTCTGAATGGTGTAATTTGGAGAGAAGACAGGAGAGTCTTACTGCACTGGGCACTTGCTTGGAAAGCAGCAACGTTACTGCTGGTCACTGCTCTAGGCTTCGTTGGCTGAATAAATAGAGGAATAGTCAGTGAAGATCCCGTTCTCTCCTCCTAGTGGGGTTTCAGGAGCCTGCAGGGGCAATTTTTGCATCCCCTCAATCCCTGGACTGCTCCAGGATGCTCAACTTGACCTCAACCCCTGCCTGTTTCTAACCTAAGGCCCAGGAACCTCCCCCTCCCTCTGCAGTCCACGCTACCCAAGAATGCCTGGCCCTGAATATGGCGTGCAGGGCTGCTGTCTGCAGAAAAGCAAGGTGTGCGCTGCTCATTCCTGCCCCCAAAAAGCGTGTCTCTGCCATTTCTAGCTGCTCGTTGCTGCAGTCCTGCATGCCTCTTACCACCAGTCTCCTCCAGAGCCTGGGCAAGGGTGCATCGTCCAGTTGAGAGGCGGATTTATTTTTGCCCTCGTGGAGGGAGAGCTCAGTAGTACGCCATCTGGAAAGGCTCTGCCCAGCAGAGGTGTGCGCCTGGTCCCGTGACGCGCCCAACGCAGATGGCTGCGAGAAGCTGCAGACACCGTGAAATACTTGTCTGATCAAAACCAACTGGGGTTAACTAGTCTGCGCTGCTGAACTCCGCAAGGAAAAACCCCTCTGCAGCCCACCTCCCGCAGTGCAGAAACGCTGCTTTTTTTCTTCCCTGCTACCTTTTGCCCTTGGGGAGAGGCGATCAACTGTGTTCATTAACAAGGCGAGGCCATTAAACTTGATTAAGCTAAGCTGTTTCTTTAAGAAAACGTCTCTCCGAGCTGCACAGCTGGCTGCAGGCAGAGACTGCAGAGCCTCTGCCCGCTGAGCTCCCCCCGTGTCTTATCTAGGGCCAGGACGCAGATACAAGAAAGATTTCCCCAGGAAAATAAACACATGACTGAGAGCTAGAGACAGGGCATTTGTTTGCAGTTTGAGTCTCATTTATTTTTGTTTTAAAAAAGAAACATTGCAAATTAAAAAATCTTTGGTGTGCCTCTCCCCCCCCCCCCCCGCTTCCCCCCGGTTGCATGGACTGTTCAGGAAAATAAAAGGTTGATACTGAAATGCAGTTGTGGGGAGGCAGTGCAGAGGTGTCTGGAGAGCGGGGACCCTTGCATCTCCGGCCACCTTGTTACTGTGGGTGCTGCGGGGTTGCTGCTGCCTGGCTGATGGGTGACAGGTCCCGGTGCACCTCAGGCTGTCGCTGCTCTTTTGCTTTTGTCTCAAGAAGCAGCTGATTCAGTGGATGGTGTGGCTAGAACAGCAGTCCCCGTGCTTTATGGGGTGCAGAGGCTTGGACCATCCACTGGCCGGATGGATCATGTCCCTCCATGGCCAGCCCAGGGGTGGTTTGAATGATAATTTTGGGGAGCTCTTCAAATTCAGACCTGGCTCTGAACTCCCAAAAGCCTGCATCAGAGATGTCGTGTGCGACACAACGCAGACATTTTCTTGACAGCTTTCTGGTTCTTGTAGGAATCACTTGCCCTCGCCTGAAATGTTACTCGCTAACCCTTCTGGAGAAGGACCTTCTTGCAGGGAGCCACGCAAAGCCCGGCAGCTCCCCACCAGGTAGGCTGTACTCTGCCAGAGCTGGCTGCCTCCGTGCCCCTGCTTGCTCGGGTAAGCCTCTGGCCTCCCATCGTGTTTCCCTTCGCTCTGATTTTTTTCGATTCCTCCAGGCAGCACCACCCTTCCTCCGGGGCTGTTGGTGCCTCTGGATCACAGCAGGAGCACCTGCGTGGGCAGCTCTCCTGCCCGCGGGAGGAGGCTGCTTTGCCCACCTGGTGAGCTTGGAGGCAGGAGGGCTGGGAAAAGTACCTGGATGGGGGAAGGGAGGGAAGGAAGAAGGAATGATAAAAGCGCAGTGCTGGTTCTCCAGGGTCCTGGCTGGCCTAGGGGTTTGGGACAGAGACCAGAGCTATTCCTGCATGTTCCTCTCTAGGATTAGGTGTGGCAAATCCTAATTTTTTATAGCATTATGTGTTGCTTCCTGTTTTGGAGGGGAAGGGAGTCACTTATTTCAGGGCTCACAAAGCAAGCTGAAAAATAAGGCACATATGGGGTCAATTTAAAGGGCTGTGTGAGGAGGAGCTTGGCTTCCTGGCTGTTACCCGCACAGCCACACGCAGCCAAACCCCGTGATGTGATGTTAACATCACCGCTCTGTCCGAGTCAGACCAAACAGGCTCCGCTGGGATTGGATGGCACAAGCGGCTGCTTGTAACCAGTGGCTTTGCCCCCCCACTGGTGCGTGCCCTGGGAGCCGGGGGAAGGTGGCATCACCCTCGCCCGGGCTGGAAGCGATTGTGTCCGGCAGCTCCGTCCAGGCTGGCCCACGTGGGTTTGGCT